CCTTTTGTTTTTAAAAAAATGGTAATAACTTTTTTATTTTTGATCCGATTTTTATAAAATTTATATCAACATTTTTTATTTTTCATGATCTTTCAAATGAGACCAATATTGCTTATGTAATTTTAAGAAATTATCGAACTATTATATTAATGTGTATTAGATTATAAGGAAAACCAAACTAAATTTAATACAGAAAAATAATTGTGTAAATCACAAATTATCTTAAAATTGTGTATATAAAAAATTTATTGTATTAGGTATTTATACATGTGAGTTACATATTTTTATATGTGAAGTTACATATTTTTACACGTAAAGTTACATATTTATACACACGAGTTACATATATATATACATACGAGTTGCATTTGACTTGCCTGAACGCGAGTTACATATATTTACACGTAGAGTTACATATTTTTACACGTAAAGTTACATATTTATACACGCGAGTTACATATTTATACACACGAGTTGCATTTGACCTGTCTGAACGCGAGTTACATATTTTTTTAAGTAAAGTTACATATTTTTACACGTAGAGTTACATATTTATACACACGAGTTGCATTTGGCCTGACTGGACGTGAGTTACATATTTCTACACGTAAAATTACATATTTTACATAGGTTAAAATTACATAGGCAATATTGGTCTCATTTGAAAGATCATGAAAAATAAAAAATGTTGGTATAAATTTTATAAAAATCGGATCAAAAATAAAAAAGTTATTACCATTTTTAAAAAAAAGAGAAATAAAGAATAAAGATCCGGTGCTTGCCAAATATGCTGCTTGCCAAAAACCGTATGCCGGTATACGGTGCTCACCGTATACCGGTCATACGGTATAACAATTGAATTTTACACCAGAAAGAAAAAATTCAAAGAATCTTTACCAATTTGCTCTCGCTACTTTCGGTTTGGTCTCGACTTTGGATCCCATTTGAGTTAAATGGGGACTGGCGCCGATTATAGCTAGAACCAGTGTCGATCTTGCTGGACGTACACTACATGCATGGTTTTGCATGGATTGTTGTGACTAAATGTTAAGGCTTGGACTAGTCTTTAATAATGATATGATATAGATGTAGCCGAATAAGGTATATGGGTAGATCATAGGTTTGGGTGGAGTACCCTAGGGCCAAGCGGTGTCCTTAAAACTCATAGGTTTGGGTGGAGTACCCTTGGACGGGCGGCCGGTGTCCTTAAAACTTGGATATTAGGTTTGGCGTACCTAGGGCATGACAGTGTCCTAAAACTAGGAGATCGGGTGAAGTATCATGGGACCAGGGCGGTGTCCTTAAAACTTGTAATTACCGGGAGAATGACCCTGTGGCTGAGTAAGGCTATCAACACGCAAGAGATAATGAGTTCTAGGTTGTAGCGGGAGAGATAGATACCGGAATGAATATGGGACGGGAAAAGTCAAGGACTAAGTCCACCTTAATTTTATTTGTTTAAATCAAAAGACCTAAGGGTCGAATATTTTCTACGTATATAAATACTTTATGTAAAGCTTGGGAAGAAGGCTATATGTATTGTATCACATTATGTTTGGGTCTTATACTTGAAACGTTACTATTCAATATTTATCTTGCGTCTCGCCGGTACGACTATACTGACCCTTTTGAAGGCCCTCACCATTTTCAGGTTAGAGTTAGGGCTTGCTACTTGCACCTTTGCATTTGGTGAAGAAATTCCAAGGAAGACGTGGTTCATGCTTCTCTTTTCATTATTTTACAATAATAAACAATGTTCATGGATATTTGGATTTACTATAAATTATTTTGGGCCTCTGAGCCCACGTTTTGACGTATGTGGCATTTGATCAGACATTGAATATTTCTGATATTCGTTTGATTAAATGTTGATGTTGTTATGTATGTTAATTTACCGAGTACTGTATGAACTATATTCATGGACGCCTTGTACAACCAAGTGAGGGTGACTTCCAGGTGATATCACTTGATTGTAGAGATATTTACCTAAATAGGAGTAAATCAATCTTTAATTGCCAAAATAGGACCGAACTCTAAAAATTCCCTAAATAGGAGTTATTATTTGTAATTGGACTAAAACACCCTTGAAGCTTGGAGGTCATACTGCCGCTGACCAGAACACCAGACCACCCCCATTCACCGGTCACCGCCGGTCGCCGCCGGTCGCCGCCACTCACCGCCAGTTGCTGCTGATCGCCGCTGGTCGACGGACACAACTATCACCTCAAAAACTGGCTGTTGTTGTAGATCTAGTCGTCAACGATGCAGGTCTGGTAGGTTTCGCCGGAGATCTGGCCAAATCCAGCCTCCGCCGGACGTCAGCCGCTGCTTCGGCAGATCCAACCACCGTCGCAGCTTATCCGGCATCTGCCGCTGCAACTCTGACCTCCTCATATGCAGATCTAGTCGATACTGACATGAACGCCAAGTTTTTTTTTATCAGAATGCTGTTTTAATGGCATTTTAAAAGGAAAGTATAACTTTTTTTAAGACTAAGAATGCCATTTTGATGGCATTTTTAGATTATAACTTGGCATTTTGTAAGAATCAAAGAAGAAACTAAGCTTGGGGAAGAGAGAACTACAGAAGAAGAGGAGAAAGGGTGGGGAGACCAACCAGAGAAGAGAAATCGGTCTATGGAGAAGAAAACTCAGTCTCTGATGGCGGCGGACTTCGTAGGGGCGACGGACTTCATGGCGGAAGTTTTAGCTATGGTTTCGGTTTCTAGGTTTGTTGTTATGTGCGAAGGGGCAGGAGGAGATGATGCAGGGGAGGGGATGATGCAAACGAGATGTGATGATGCGCAAGAAGAAAATGATGCGATGCAGGGGTAGGGTGTGCGCAGGGAAATTAAGGAGGAAGAAAAATAAGGGTAAATGGGTAATTTGGTCCTATTTAGGGAATAAAAATACACATAGTCCTATTTAGGAATTTCAGGAACAATTTAGTAGAGCCGTCAAAATGGGCCGAAACCCGCGGGCTGACCCGTTTAAACCCATTTATTGGTGGGTTAAGGTTGAGAATTCCTGGCCCATTTAGTTCACGGGTTTCGCGGATCAACCCACGCGGGTTGCGGGTTTAAGTGGGTTGGCCCACTGGGTTACGGGTTGGCCCCCGGGCCAGAATAAAAATATATAGTTTTGAATTTTATTATCTAAAATAGTGTTCTTTTACTACCAATATTATTATAATTACAATTTAAAAAGTATTATTCTTTTATTTCTATAATAAATATTCAAATAAAATGTTGAAACATATATTTTGTGAAGTTCGATACAATATTTAACAATTAGTAGTCATTATTTGCAAATAATTAATCAAAAGTTTTATGTAAATCTTTATTTTTATACAATGAGTATTTTTTCCGCATAGCCTCTTATAGTTTTCAAATTCTCGTATAACTAGTATTTAATATTTTTTAATTAATTTTAACAAGTATTGAATTTTTAGTATTTTGAATTCTTATATTTCCTTTGTTACTACTTGCTAATATAAATATATACTTCCGGGTAATTTTTTTTTTAAAATTCATTTTATATTTTTTTTTACATTGGCCCGCGGGCCTACCCGTTTAACCCACGGGTTAGGTGGGTTGGGTTAGGGTTGTAGAATTTCTGGACCGTCATTAAATGGGTTGGCCCGGCCCAACCCGCATAAAGCATAACCCGTTATGGGTCGGGTTGGCCCGTTTGACAGCCCTACAATTTAGTCCTATTTAAGACTAAGTCTTGATTGTATGATGGTTGTTCACGCGCTCAGATGTGGTCTGGGGCGTGACAACTGGTTCGCTAAGTTAACTACTTCGTTGGGATATCGATCTGTCAGAGACTTTAATATAGCTATGTCAGGGAAGCAACCTTGAAAATTAACTACAGAAATCGAATCTCTGGTTAGCAAGGTCTTTAAGGCTAGATACTATCCAAAGTGTTCTTTTTTGGAGGCAAAAAAGGAAGCCACCTGTCTTTTATCTGGCGGGGTATTTTGGAAGCACGGAATGTTGTTCGCGTAGGAACACGTAGAAGAGTTGGTTCTGTTAGAGATGTTTCCGTGTGGCAGGATAGATGGCTCTCCGCTCTCCGAGAAGGGACACGGTCTGGTTACATTAGCAAAACCCGATGGGGATTTTGATATGAATGATGTGACTTTGATTAAGGAGGATCGATCTTGCTGGAACTTTGATCGAGTCTATATATGAAAACATTTTCAACCTGAAGTAGACGTTAAGTATTTGAAATACCATGTCTAGATACGAAATGGAGAATGAATAAATATATACTTGAACTATACGTTAGAGAGCACACATTTTTTTGATTTTTGGAACCACGCGCAAATTACGATTATATAGTATTGTGTATAAAAAAGAGATTTGAATATTTTTTATTTATGTACTCTCCTTCTGCAGTTGAATTATTTTTCTATTGTGTTTCAGTTTATTTTGATTCGATTTTTGGTTTCTAAAACTCACCAAACTTTTAAATATTCTTATTCCTCACACATTATAAACCCATGTTTGACCAGCTACCTTCCAGGATTTAACCCACATTTCACTTCGATATGTGAAATCGTGACTGAACACCGCACATGTGCAAAACAAATGAATTTTGATGCAAAACTAACAAGCTTGCAATCAATTAAGTTAGCTTATTGCTACTCTTTCTTGGAAACATGTAACACATACATGACACTCCTGATGTTAATTCTTTGATGACATATTTTGTCTATCAAAATTATATTTATGCATATTTTTAGAATTTGGTTCTGTACAAATCTTTTTTTTTTCTAAACTCAGTGTCTTTATCTAAAATGTATTTTCTCCCATAACTCTCTGTATAGGAAATGTAGATGAATGATGTATCAATTCGGTTAATGCCATGCCACTAGTGAGTAAGATGTGTTTGTTCATACCATTTATCACCTATGTTATCATTATGATCCCATGTTTGCATAAGTAATTTCTGCCTTTAAAAACAATGAGCAACCAACTATAAAATTTCAGATTGAAGACCATTTGGAAATATAGAAATTCAATGAGACTATTCAATTGAGAGACAACATAAATGAATTCCACTAAGATATTATTTTATAAGTTAGGCTAGATCATTTCAATTTCAATTTTTTAGACATAATAGTGGAAAAGAAAATCTGGAACATCAATACACACCTTAAGGGGTTCAGGACACAGTTCAAGCTCCTTGACGTGATGAATCTTTTCAAAAATTTCTTTCGTACTACTCAGCACTTTCTCAGGAATTATTATATCCCAAAAGGGTTCAATAAAATCAATATTAGCACTAACAAGAGATGAGATGTCTTTGAGGTTTATCTGTCTTCCCATAGGATACAACCAAAGACTCAAATTTGTTATATAGGGTGCTGAAATTTGCAGGAAACCCTCACTTTCATCACCTTCAGAGTCCCTTATTTGCAGTTGACGTAGATTTTGAGAGTTGATCTCCAAACACGTGAAACCATAACACTCACTCAGATCCAAGAATTTCAAAACAGGACAACCAGATAATATCTTTTCAACTACAGACTGAGGCAAATTCACTCCTGATATTTCTAATTTAGTCAATGACCACCACTTGATTGTTCTTTGAGGATCCAAAATGCAACCTTCTAAATACAATGAAGTCAAGGATGAATTTGAATAAATCATTTCATGAAGAATGTAGAAATCTTGACTGTTGTTCATTTCCAAACTAACTTCTTTCACCTTACTTTCCAAGGCAAACTGGATCCAGTTATCAACATCTGTAGAGAAGCAATCCTCATACTTGAAAGTAACCTTCAACTTCTCAAGATAATTTCCACGACGAGTAGCAATGATCCTATTAACCCAAGCGACAAAGTCAGATGTAATCTCACTTTCCTTACTTTTAGCCCAACCATAGGAGTCGAATTGAAGGCTCGGTAATTCAGTCCAAAGAAATTGCCATCTTTTCCCCAAAATACTCGTACTAGCAGCTTTCTTCATACCGAGTAAAGATATGATGTGAACAAGTAAGCAATCCGGTAATGCACTGATCCTATCAATTGAAACCCTAATTCGATTGTTTTCCCTAACATTTTCGTGAAAATAAATTTCTAGATTTTCAGCTCCAAATTCTTCTCCTTTGCATAAATCACTTTCTCCACATTCTGGAGTTTCTTTCTCTAAACCTTTTTCCCTCATCGAGGTGATAAAACACAATCACGAAATACAAGCATGGACTGTTCGAATCCAAATGACTGATTCCGTTGCCCCCGCTCGGTCAATAACTTTGTCAATCTCTGGAGAGAGAGATGTACCCTTTGCCAAAAACTGTGGTGACTAGGGTGTACAGTCTAACTGCGGCCAGGGGCGAATCCAGAACGTTACAATAGACGGGCTGAGAAATATAATTTGAAGACACATGCATAATGATATGTCAATACTTAAAAAAAAGTCAATGCTTTAATCAAAACATTATTTAAGTTGTGCCAGAGCCACCACTTTAGAGTAAAAAAACTCATCAATAATGGAATATACATCTATATTATTGACAAAATCTCATTCAATATAGATAAGTTTGACAATCCACTTTCATAAAGAATGATGAATCACCTTCTTTCCTTTCTTGGCAATATGTTGGTTATCCATTTTAAAAAAAAATTATACATCAGTGACGAGATTAGAATTAAAATACTACTACTCCGTATAAAAGTACAAAACAAATACATCAAAATGTTATAACTAATAAGTAATAGTAATCGTTTAACATTAACACTTCAATCTAATTCCAAATTTAAAAATTGAATTTAAAATTTTTAATTCTTTCTTACACGCCCAAACAATAAATAAGTCATTCTCTAATCTTGAATTGTATATGAAATTGTGATGTATTACAATTAAAAGAACTACACTTATGAATTACATTTTAAATTAATAGAATTAAGACATGTACTAAATTGAATAGAATTAAGACATGTACTAAATTGACAATATCTTTAATCTTTATAATGAATAAACACATTTTTATTACCTATTAAAAAATTCAACTAATAATCCATTAGAATTAAAAAACAAAAAAGTAATAGGCAAAGAGTAATACCTGGACAGCGGATTGCTGAATTGGGAGTTGGAGAGAGCTCTAGAGGCAGGAGGCGAAACTGAAGTGCCGCTATGCCGGTCAGGAGGCAGCAACGCGCCAACGCAGGTCGCAGACTCGCAGGGACGCCGACGGCCGACGCGGAGACGCAGGAGTGCAGGACTCTGGACGGCGGGAGGCGGCGCAAGTCAGCTGGGCAGCTGGACTGGAGGGCTAATCAAGGACGCTCGACGATGACGGCTGGCCGGATGGGAGTGACTCATGGGAGTGTGGAGCCAGTGGAGGATGTCGTGCCTTGACTCCCTCAGTGGTTTTTATTGCTGGTGTGGTTTGTTTAAGTGGTTTTTATTTAAAAAAGGGAAAAGAGGCAAATAAGCCCTCGAACTAATCAAAAAAGTGCAAATAAGCCCTTTTGTAAGAGGTTCCGTCCAGTCATTGTCATTTGGGGAGGTTCACGGTGGAATTTTTTGATGAAAATTTTTGAGCATCTTATTCATTAAGTATAGTTTAGTCCTACTGAATTTCAGCTAAAAATTAAACTGGGAAGACAGTCAAATGAATTTTTGAAGATAACTGCACAGTTAAACAACCCAGTATTTTTCCGAAAATCATTTGAGTGCCTTCCCGGTTGAATTTTTAGCTGAAATTCGGTATGGCTAAACTAGACTTAATGAAGAATATGCTCAAAAAAATTCATCAAAAAATTCCACCGAGAACCTCCCCCAATGACGATGATCGGACAGAACCTCCTACAAAAGGGCTTATTTGCACTTTTTTTATTAGTTCGAGGGCTTATTTGCCCCTTTTCCCTTTAAAAAAAAAGGATGACACCCCATCCCTCAGGACCCCCAACACCGACCGGACAGCACGATGGGAGGATGTAAGTTGAACTATAATCACAACCTGACAGAGAGAGAGTGAGGCTCCGTCCCCGGTACTTGCAGAGGCCCTATGCATTTTTCAGCAAAGTAACCCCTTATCGCAGTTGTCGGGATTCGAACCCGAGACCTAACCCTTGTGGCACTCCCTCGCTACCAGTTGAGCTACGCCCACCGGCTAAGTGGTTTTTATTAATGGTCTGGTTTGTTTAAGTCTGGTGTGATCTATTTAAATCTTATCTTTTCTGATCTGGTTTGTTTAGCTCTGGTCTAATATGGTTTGAGACTGAAAATCGTCCAAGTAAAAACATCCTAATAAGCTAGTCATTATTTTAGTTTAAGGGTTGTGCTAGATGTACACATTTATGTGTACACCTTTCGTACATTCATTTGTCTAGTGCACAAAGAATTGTTTGTTTAGAGACAACTCTTTGTAATTGTTATGAAATGGAAGGAAACAAGTAGGAAACTCCTATTTATAGGAGAAAATGTGAGCTTAATCAAGTTAGGAGATGATCGATTATGAGCCACACAATTATCATCTTGAAATCATAATTATGATTTCCCAATTATATAAGTAATGATTATAATAATTCTTAATCATGAATATTTTTATCATTAAAAAAGACGAGTTTATATTAAAATTGAGAACACATATAAGACAACTTTCAAACAGATTTTACAGATCCAATCGTGAACCATAAGAATAAACATAGAGTCAGTCATCAAGGGGCGGATCCAGGAATCTGAGATGCTTTCGGTTGAATAGAAATTATACTAGGCTTAAATATTAGAGGGGTGAGCTAAACGTGAAAAATGGAAAAGTTTACACTAAAAAAATTGAAAAATTTCTAAGTTGCCCCGGACTTCAACCTACCATAGCCCGTGCATAGATTCTCCCCTGCAGTCACCTCATTAAAATCAACCTGGCTTGTTAAATCTTAAATGAGCAATTTTATGTCTAAAACGAACAAATCTAATCATTCATTCATTTTACGCCTAAAATGAACGGATCTATACCTCATATAGTCATACACTTTTTGCTAATGATCCCAGAAAAAAGACCATGAATATTAAAAAAATTTAAAATCTGTTTCACAATCACATAGTATAAAAGAAATCGGTCAAATCCCATACATTTTTTTTATTCTTCCAGTTATGGTACGGGCAGAATAATTCTTCCATATGAAATGGAAAACTCAAATTGCAGCCCAGCCCTACTTTGGATGAAGGCACTAATTAATGACTGATCACCACAGGGGCGCAAAACAACTGAACTTTGCTGCATAACTAATAAGCTTGCAAACAATTAAATTAGCTTATGGCTACTCTTTCCTGAAAACATGTAACAAATCCATGACACTCCTCATGTTGATTCTTTGGTGACAAAGTTTGTCTCTCAAAATTATATCTACGCATATTTTTAAAGTTCTGCACAAATCTTTTTTATCTAAACTTGGTGTCTTTATCGCAAATGTATTTTCTCCCATAACTCTCTATACAGGAAAGGAAGATGTATCAATTTGGTTAATGCCATGATACAAGTGAAGACCATTTGGAAATATAGAAATTCAATGAGACTATTCTATTGAGAGACAACATAAACGAATTCCACTAAGTTTGGCTAGAATGTTTGAATTTCAATTCTTGAGACACAATAATGGAAAATAAAATTTGGAGCATCAATACACACCTTAAGGGGTTCAGGTCCTCAGGACCTAGTTCAAGCTTCTTGACGTGATGAATCTTTTCAAAAATTTCCTGCGTACTACACAGCTCTTCAGGGAGTATAAAATCCCAAAATAGTTCAATAAAATCAATATTAGCACTAACAAGAGATGAGATGTCTTTGAGGTTTATCTGTCTTCCATTAGGATACAACCAAAGACTCAAATGTGTTATATAGGGGGCTGAAATTTGCAGGAAACCCTCACTGTACTTTCTTCATCTTGAGTCCCTTATTCGCAATTCACGTAGATTTTGAGAGTTGATCTCTATACAAGTGAAACCCCTACACTCACTCAGATCCAAGAAGTTCAAAACAGGACAACCAGATAATATCTTTTCAACTACAGTCTGAGGCAAATTCACTCCTGATATTTCTAATTTAGTCAAAGACCACCACTTGATTGTTCTTTGAGGATCCAAAATGCAACCTTCCAAATACAATGATGTCAAGGATGAACTTGAATACATCATTTCACGAAGAATGTAGAAATCATCTTGACTGTAGTTCATTCTCAAACTGACTTCTTTCACATCTACTTACTTAATAATAAAGTAGAATCTTACAATTGAAATTGAATTCTCAATTAATTGCTATTGAGTCCAAATAGTAAATTGAATATTGCTATTGAGTACAATTGAAAAAATAAATAATTGATACTCGGTATCAAGTGCAAATAATATATTACGCCAAATTAAACGTGGTACATTTACTACATTGCATATTTGAAAATTATACCCACTAAATTAATGTATCATTAAATGGCCCAAGAAAAGGAAGTGATTAATTGTTCCAAACTTATGGAGTATTTAAATTTTAATAAAACATATCCTGACAATTGAAATTAAATTATCAATTGCTCCGTAATTCCTTAATTCCTATTGAGTACAATTTATAAATTAAGTATTCCTATTGAGTGCAGTTGATAAATTAAATAATTCATATTCACATCAAGTACAAAAATTATTAACTTAACTAATTTCTTTCATTTTCGTCCGTATTAATTCATATGCACAGATCTTTTTTTTTTTTTTTGCAAAACACAGTATAATATTTTTTCTAAAATATTAAGTTTGTTGGAATGCTATATAACTTTTCATCATTTGGAATGGAGCCAAAGACTCCCTATTTTTTTGGTCTAAAAATATGATGGAATAAAAAAAAATGACTCACTAAACTGTCTGCGTTTCTTTGTTATGTAGCAGCAGTTAGTTCATGCAATTTTTGACGCGATTTTCATCATGTGTCATCCAAAAATAGTCTCTCTGTGCTTTAATACAGAGGTAATACTGCGTATATCAGACCCCCCTACCCCACCGAAGGTGTTAGCCTTTGCAGAACTGGGGTAATGATAATGATGATTGGAATGATATAGTACGTATGATAGTTACGCTTATTTAAAAAACATATAAAAGAATAAATTGATATAGTAATGAGAATATAATTATAAATTTTCTGTTTTCCTTATAAGATGCCCAATTAATAAAACAGTAGTCCCTGTTTAAAATATGTGATGAAAACGTCAGTGTATTCAGAATATAAGAGGTTATGATTTAAAACCGATTGATACATTTTTCTCATTTACTTTTTTTGAAGAACTTTTCTCATTTACTTTGAAAATTGAAATTTTACATTTACTAAAGAGACCTTTCAAATCACGCTTAAAACAAAAGAAGCTTTTAAAAATATGAATTATGATCTTCAAATTAAAGAATTGAAACAATGCTAATAAAGTATGATATAATTAATAAGTAAATTGTGACTATGTACACATTGTGTGATTCTCCTAAATATATATAAACCATACTTCCTCCGTTCCTTTTTAATTGCAACAGTCAACTTTTCATGTTTGCCAACGCACAAGTTTGACCATTAATATCTTTCATTCCGTATTAGTAAAAAAATTTTAAAAAATCATATTTTTAAAATTTAGAATGAGAAGAATTTAACAATATTTTTTAAAAATTTAATTTATAATACATCAATTAATAAAATGTAGTCAAAGTAGAATATGTGAATAGTGCAAAAAGTCCAACGTTGCAACTAAAAGAGAATGGAGGTAGTATTTATTTATATTTTATATTCTCCATAAATCTATGGAAATAATATTTTATGCTAAATGTACATATATTTAGGATGATAAATAAATTGAATTAATTTTTTATTTTTTCATTTTTCATATTAAGCAATTGAGATATTATTGATCAAAGATACACCACATAATATACTAAGAAGGTATTTGGTAGGATGTAAGAGATTTAAAAGGTTTACATGTGAAGTGTAGGGACGTAAAAGATTTACGCCATTTGACTAGATTATTTAATGTAAAGTATACATCATTTTTTAAAACCATTTCACACTGTACCCGGTAAAGTATTAAGTATTTTAAGTGAAGGGAGGGTGGTAAAATACTTTGCATGTTCTTTACAAAGCACTGTAACACCTTTGTGTTGCAAATTGAAAGTAAATTACACATGTAGCTAAACAATGTTATTTATTTTACGTGCAAAGTGACTGGTTTCCTAAACGTTGCATGCAATCATTTACATTCAAATACGGAGTATTTAACATGTAAACTATCAAACGAGCTATAAGTTCATTGTGAGTACACACACATACATTGTGAGATTCTCCAATTAAATATAAAAATATTTTTTCTTATTGTTTTATTCTCCATAATATTATGGGATTGTTACTTTGTATTGAATGGCATGCATTAGCGATACAAAAAATAAACAAACCAACTTACTTTTAAATTTATCTATTTGGATTTTTTTGGGAAAATTACCCTAAATAAAACTAAAAACGTTTGTATATTCCAAAATAAAACTGTCATATTTTTATTTCCTAAATAAGAATACTTACTGCAAACAATGTAATGATTCATATTCCCCTAAACCTTCTAGGGAAAACGTTTATTTAAAGTCAAACGACGAATTATTTATATATTGTATAAATATACATAGTATATCTTAGAAAGTTTCAAACATTTTCAAAATCTATCCGGGGCAACGCCCGGATAAAACACTAGTTATTTTCCAAAGGCAAACTGGATCCAATTATCAACATCTGTAGAAAAGCAATCCTCGTAATTGAAATTAACCACCATTTTCTCAAGATAATTTCCACGACGAGTAGCAATTATCCTATTAACCCAAGCCACAAAATCAATTGTATTCTTACTTTCTTTACTTTCAGCCCAATCATAAAATCTGAATTCAAGGCTCCGTAATTCAGCCCAAAGAAATTGCCATCTTTTTCCCAAAATACTCGTAGTAGCAGCTTCCTTCATATCCAGTAAAGATATGATGTGAACAAGTAAGCAATCCGGCAATGCACTGATCCTATCAATTGAAACTCTAATTACATTGTTTTCCCTAACATTTTCGTGAGAATAAATTACTAGATTTTCAGCTCCAAATTCTTCTCCTTTGCGTACATCACTTTCTCCAGATTCTGGAGTTTCTTTCGCTAAACTTTTTTCCCTCATCGTGGTGATAAAACACAATCACGAAATACAAGCACGGACTGTTCGAATCCAAACGACTGATTCCGTTGCCCTCGCTCGGTCAATAACTTTGTCGATCTCTGGAGTGAGAGAAGTACCCTTTTTCTAAAACTACGTACGGACTAGGGTGTATGTTCTAATTGTGGACAGGGGCGGATCCAGAAAGTTACAACAGGGTGGGCTGAGAAATAAAATTTGAAGAGACATACATAACGATACGTCAATACTTAAAAAAAGTCAATACTTTAATATTGATTAAAACATCATTTAAGTTGTGCCCAACACACGAATTCAAAGTTAAATTTTAAAACTCATCAATAATAGAATCTACATTTATATTATTGACAAAATCTCATTCAATATAGATAAGTTTGACAATCCACTCTCCTAAGGAATGATGAAATCACCTTCTTTCCTTTCTTGGCAATATATTGATTATCCATTCTAAGAAATTTTTAAATATTGGTGATGACATTTGAATGAAAATACTTCTAAATATAAAAATAATACATTAAAATGTTATAACTAATACTCCATCCGTTTCTAAAAGAAACTCACACTTTCCTTTTTGGGATGTTTCAAAAAAAAAGTCACACTTCTCTTATTTCCTTATTTGACAAAGAAATCTACATCCAAACAGTGCGAAACAGTGCCAAACAGTGTTCAAACAGTGCCAAATAGTGTCTGAACAGTGTTTTCTACAGTAAAATCAATTTATTTCCTTTATAATCGTGAAGTCAAACCGTGACTTTCTTTTGGAAATGGAGGGAGTAAGTAATAGTAATTGTTTTACATTAAACACTTCAATCTAATTCCCAATTTAAAAATTGAATTTAAAATTTTAATTCTTTCTTACTAGCCCAAACAATATATACATCATTTTCTAATCTTCAATTGTATATGAAATTGAGATGTATTACAATGAAAAGGACTACAATTATGAATTACGGAATACATAGTACATTTTAAATTAATAGAATTAAGACATGCACTAAATTGATAATATCTTTAATCAGTATAATGAATAAACATATTTTTGTTACCTACTAAAAAATTCAACTAATAATCAAATAGAATTAAAAAAACCAAAAAAAAAGTAATAGGCAAAGAGTAATACCTGGAGTTCTTTTCCCTTCCGGAGCGAGAGCTTAGCTCTCTAAATCTTCGGTCCTCCTAGGGCTTTGCCGCCGCTAGGCTTGTCTTTCCGATCTCGGCTTTTGGTTGAGGATCGAGAGCAGCAAAGTAGAGAAGACAGTTGGACGAGTGCAATTCATCTCGGCTGGGACCGAGGCGAAAGGCAGACGACACGGGCGAGCTGCGACGAGGCTGGAGCGATTTTCCGGCAACGTCCTTTTGTGGCGATTGGGCCTGGCGTTTCCCATCTCCGTAGGGCTTGAGCATCGAGATCGAAGGAGGACGGTTGCAGATGGAGATCGCTGGCATTGGTAAGCAGGGGATTGGCGATCAATTTGTCGCAGATGAGGAGAACCGAGCAGTGCAGGGTACGGACAACGCGGAGAAAATGATCGGTCTCTTCCTGATTGGTGCATCAACAATCGTTGAGAGGGTCAGGCCTCCTTCAGAACCACCGCCAAGGGTTGATCGACGCGCTTTGGAGTTTGCTTCTGATTTACCTTTTCTGCATTTTAATTTTCAAGTTAAGACGTTTGTGTTTTGTTGTTATTTTATTTTATGCTATAAGACTCTTGCATTAGGTTTGGGGGATGGAAAGTCTGCAGTGACCGTCATTGGCTCTAAGTTGCCCAATTTTGGTCTAGCGAGTTATACTGCTTTTTTACAGGTGGTTAACTCTCAGTCTCGGCCACGGGCGGATGGTTACATGTGGTTCTTTTCTGCTTTTGTACCCTTGCTGAATGCTATTTCTATGAATTAAGTCCTCTTCGAGCAAAAAAAAAAGAGTAATACCTGGACAGCGGATTGCTGAATTGGGAGAGTCGGAGAGAGGTAGAGGCAGGAGGCGAAATTGGAGTGCCTCTATGCTGGCCAGGAGGCAGCAACGCGCCAACGCAAGTCAAAGACTCCCAGGGACGCCTACACGGCGAGGCAGGACATTAATTTTGGAGTGAGCTAGTCATTAATTTGAAATCTATACCTATAATTTAAAACAATTGGGTTGGGTTAAAGTCCACCCTAACCACAAATTAGGGGTGAGAAAAAACGACCCAAAACCCGATAATCAAATGAACTCAACGCGAGATATGGCATTGGTTTGGGTTTATTTTAAAAATGATCGGTTCGGGTTTAAATACCCGATTTGAACCCAAAAACATGGGTCCTAATCAATGGCGGATGTGGTAGTGTTCCAAGGTGTTCACATGAACACTCAAAATTTATAAAATCATGCAAGTATATGTGTGTAATTTAATATAATTATATTTATTCTTCTTTAAAATTTTAATATTTAAAACATTGAACACCTAAAAGTTAGATACTAAATCCACCACTAGTCCTAATTCAGGTTCTAAAATTTTATGCCCGACCCAAGCTGAAAACCCCGATTTAATTAAGAAACTAAAAATATACTACGTATATTTAATATAAAATAAGCATGACCTATTAATTAATAATACCAGTTTTTATATACAATACGTATGGATTATTTTATACTACCTCCGTCCCAAATTGATTCGCAAAATTGATTGTTTTTAGTCAAACAATTTCTTTTTATTCACTTAATTAGGAATATCAATTTTTAATTATATTTAATTTGGAGTTTGCAACTTTGAAAATTAGAAAAAATGACAAGAATAATGCCTCCAGCTTCTCCTTGGACAAAAGTAGGCCCAATTCTAAAATTAGACAAAAAAGACACCGATTATTAAAAAAAGGACCCATATACCCTTAATCCAATTCAGCTCCCTCGTCCGTGTTTTTTTTGCCAATCGCACAGCATCGATGCATTATCTCTCATCGTTCGTTTCTTCTTTAGCAATGGGGTCACCGCCGCGGTCCCTATCGCGGACGCCGCCCCCCTCTGCCCCCCCCCCCCCCACCTTTATCTCCAACTAGGGATGGCAATGGGGCGGTTCGGGGACGGTTTTACATATAACCGTACCCGCCCCATTTGATAATTCCCCGCCCCATAACCGCCCCATTACCCAACGGGTAATTTTTACCCAAACCGTATCCGCCCCAACGGGTAACGGGTATAACCGCGGGTAACCGTGGGTAATCGCTTTATTAAATGAGTCATTGATATTTTAATATAAAAATAATATTTTAAAAGGCAAAAAAAATGGCATCACCTAGATAACTCTAGAATGAGATGCCCCTGTAAAGTTTCGTATATCTACAAGACGAGAAAGAAGACAACATAAATTAATTTGAATCTAAAAAACTTAATCTGAAAAAATAATTATTCACTAAAAATATGATAATAATCAAACAAGACTATTAAGATCTATTATGAACTCTCATGGAAACATTATAGTTAGTACATCTATTATCCATATACTCAATGAAAATAGAAAAATATCATCTTCTATTACTCATGGGACAAATAATAGATAAAAATATAATAAAAATATAACTAAAATAAACGGGGCGGGTAATGGGGCGGGCATGTATAAAACCGTAACCGCCCCGTTACTCGTAAAAACAAAAGGGTATTCCCCGCCCCATACCCGTTACCCGGTCAATGCGGTTTTCCCCGTTTTGACCGGGGTGGTTCGGTGCGGGTATCCATTGGATCGGTCACAATTGCCATCTCTATCTCCAACGCCGCCTCCATTTTAACCTTCGCTTCTTCTATTCCCTTTGTCTGATCGCGGTAGTTTGCGGCTATGGCGGCGACACGGCCGTGTGAATAGGGCTTCGATGCAGCAAGTCGAATCGGGCCAAGGAGAGGCGGTTAGGGCGTGATGCGGCTAGGGTGGCGAGGCGTCGGTTCATTTCACTGCTCCTCCTTTCGTTGGCCTGTTGCAAGTGTGCAGGGAGCAGGGGCAGGGTGTGGTGTGGGGGCAGTTGTTGTATAGAGGCTTGGGAGGAAGATGGGGCAGGGAGGGGGCTTAATCGGGGCAGGGAATATGGCTAGGGCTGGGGAAGGGGCTGGGGATGGCGGTGGGCGTTGGCAGTGGCCGCCGACGATTGCCGGAAGCAGTGGTCATCACCGGCAGCGGCCAGAGATAATGGTTGCCGGCAGTGGTGTAACACCCCGACCCCGTGGGACCCGAGGTAGTTACTCCGGATCAATAGTACTGTCCCCACAAACCACCACAAGCCTTTACCGCGCACTTTGTCCTCACTCATGCGCGCCCTGAGAAACTTCCCAGGGGGTCACCCATCCCAAGACTACTCCCGTGCAAGCACGCTTAACTTTGGAGTTCTTAGGTGATGAGCTCCCTTAAAAGGAGATGCACCTCTGTTGGTATGAGTAGTACTATTAATCCGTTTATATTAAATCTCAAGTGTTACAATCACCCCCACTTAGGATCGCAACGTCCTCGTTGCGCCCTTGAACCAATGTCAAATCTCAATCAAATCCCAGAAATCTTCCCCCGCTAAGTGCCCGCCCGATATCCAACGGGTCATCACACTGTCGCGGGGTTGCTCTGATACCAACTTGTAACACCCCAAATTTTCCTACACAAATAGCTTGGAAATTTTATAATAAAATGATAACTTTATTAAGACAATTTCAGCGGAAGTCTTTAACAATGAAAATTTAGAGTGTTACCGCCACACTTAGCAAAACATGGCTAAGTGCACAGGCAAATAAAACCAATGTACTTAATAAAATAACACGTGCGAAGTAAAAATAACAAAAGTGATCCAGAGTGATGTTCTTAAATTTAAATAAAAGCCGTGCTAGAGTATCTTCTAATGGACGCTCTCAAGTCTCTAACCAAGCACATCATCCAAAGCAATATCATCTGTAATTATAGAGAAAGAAAAGAAACAAATAACACAAAAATTAGCTTTAGAGCTAAGTAAGTCCCACCCAACCCCGTAAAATAATAGGTTTGATGAAAATAATATTTTGTACAATATATATATGAAAAAGTAGATTAAGAGATAAATTTAATGGTATACTTCTTTCAAAATGGATGATCCTTACTATCGTTAAATAAAATATTTTCTTTGATAGGTTCTAGTAATGTCTTAAAATATATTTGTATTAAATTCCTAATACATTTGAAAGGCGGTGCTCAACATTTTATTGAGCCCGATGGTCCGTTGTTATGTACGGCCACCCCGGGACTTTTGCCGGTACCACTTCTAACCTGAGGAAACTGAACCTCTACCTTAAGTGTGCACACCCTCTAAAAGGGATTCCAAGCCCTCCGAGTAGTAAGAAGTCCAAGTAGTTCGGACGTCAACGTCCCCCTACTCCACCAAAAAGGGATTACCCTATATAAGTGACTAGGTTACTGCTACTACTGAATAACAGGGTCTTTTGCCCGAATTTGAATTTCAATAAAAACAACCACTTTAACCAATCTCCACAGTCAAGGTCGTGGACACCAAATCCCAACAAGTAATAGCAGTCCTAATCACTCTCCACAGTCAAGGTCGTGGAGGACACCGACATCCCGGATTTCTCCCGTGATGCCCTTACATTGAAAGGTTCATTTTATCTTTATTATTTTCAAAAAAAATAATTCGGGATTACTACTCACGTAATTTCCCAAAGTTATTCAATCATCCAACAATGCATCACATATTCATATATTGCTCAACAAATAGTCAAATAGTAAAATTTCACATTCATACATATAATATATACGAGGTAAAAATGCATTTTGGTTGCAATGTGACTTACCTCAAATTCCAATTATTCTTAATAAGCTTCTGTATCGACTTCTGCTCCGATTTCACCTTCCATATATTTATTTAAAATTCTCAAGGTTAATATAACATTCATTCTAAATTATAGCTTAATTGTTCTTCCCGTTTCAATATCCTTTAATTAATATACTTTTCTATTTTACTATAGAGGTCATCACGAGTCATCCATTTAAGTCTATTTTAATTGGTCTGCTTGGTCTACCAGTGTAGGTTACTAATTACTACGGAGTATATAATTAACTTGTTTTATTCCATTGCTGTTAATTTTGTTCATAGATAGTATAATTGAGTCATATACTTCATCATCATTAATCTAGTATAATTAGTCTACTTCGCAATTAACCGAGTCAAACAATTTACTGCTATCGTATTATATATTCCGATCCATAATATGTTAGTTTAGTCTGTATTACTAGTTCACTCTTATAGTAATCCACATAATCATTTTTTTTATACTAATATTTTTAATGAATTGGTCCGATTATAACCATTGATTAGTTTACTATTTTAGTTGAAATGTCGGTCAGTTAAATTTTCACATGACGTAATTATCCTAACTAAGAAGGTGATAATTTAAATACAAGAATAATTACTAATCCATATTAAAATATCTCCTAACGACACAACTATGATTACTTTTACCCTATTTTTATTGTCATTGCTATGTACGTAGTACTTAATATTGATAGCATAGCATCGTTTTTATTAACTAATTACTCTGTGTCCAGGACTAAAGGAATTCGGCCAACACATTAGATTATTTTTGTTGATGTCTTATTAGTCCAACTACTTAATATTAAGACTTCTGGCCCAATTAATTAAGAATACCCAGTCTGAATCTAACGCTCGTCATCTTCTTTGCTAAACCGTCGGGGTCGCAGGTTACGAAGAAGGAGATTGTAACCTTACCTTAACGATAGCAGGTGGTTCGCCTGTTGGACGTAGCTCAGTCGGCGGCAGCTAGCAGTGGTTTGGCGAGCTCCGGTAGTTCCTCCTCTTTTGTTTTTCCGACGTACGGAGTAGTCCGGCAATTACTCCGGCAAGCCTTTTCCCCCTCCGGTGATGATCGACTACCTCTTAGTCTCTATTTCCAGCTTCTTCCCCAACCGGCCGAAGGTTTGAAGGTGCTATTAGCTATGGTTTTCTAGGAGTGGCATGAGGTTGAGGGTGGCATATATGTGTGTTTAGCTACGAATTTGCTTGTTCATTTTGTGATGGTGCAGCCTAGTTCGGTTGTATTTATACTGGGAGATTGAAGGTTCTGGTTACGACCAACGCATGTGGGTGTATAAAATTGTATATCTTGATCTGGCCTTATTCAACATATGCATGTGTGTGAATGTGTACTTCCTTGTTCGTATATGGCAGGTGCATGGTGTACGCATATGGCTTTGGTCCCTTGAAAGGTCAACTTTGGTTTGATACATTGCATACATAAATTACTTAGCTACAAACACGTATATACTATTATTATTATTATTATTATTATTATTATTATTATTATTATTATTATTATTATTATTATTATTATTATTATTATTATTATTATTATTATTATTATTATTATTATTATTATTATTATTATTATTATTATTATTATTATTATTATTATTATTATTATTATTATTATTATTATTATTATTATTATTATTATTATTATTATTATTATTATTATTATTATTATTATTATTATTATTATTATTATTATTATTATTATTATTATTATTATTATTCATGTATGTGAGTTTATATATTACGGGTATTATTATTTGAGTGTACAGCTCAACCTTTTGATGTTGTTACTTTTGCATGTTATTTGGCTAGTGTACGTAACTTTGTGCATACCACAAATCAATACTTATTCAATAAAATGTCACTTTTTAATATTCATGTATAATTATTATTGTTACAAGTGGCCGGAGGTAATGCTTGCCGGCAGTGGCTGTAACACCGTCCCCAAATGTATTTACTTTTATGTAAATGATGTAATAAACCTTATGGAATGATTTATGAATTTACGAAGTTGTAAATTTTTATTTATTCTTTCGCGTGAATAGTAAATTGCACGTGGGACCCACACCGGGAGCGGGGGCCGCCCGATTTTCCCGAGACCATACATTTTATTCATCATGGTCTAGATAATAAATATGTAGTGGTGGATATTTCATTTGGGCCATGGAAAGGCCCGGAGTTGACCGATTGGTCAAAAGAAGCCCAAATTACCAGTACTGGTAATTTAACTGATAACAGCCCGAACTGAATTTCGGAGGCTTATAAATTAAAGTTGGGGAATGTATATTCATTATACATGTCATAATGAGTAAGAGCACATAATATATTTTATTTGACCCGATAAAATAAAATATATTTAAAACAGTCCGAAAAATACAACTTTCGGGACCGATTGTACACTTCGGGACACAAAGGGTTGACCTCCCACATGAGTGGGGGCCAACCCACGAATTTGGACACTCAATATGGGGTGTTGGCCGCTGGAATGGGAATAGGAAGGTGGGAGGTGTTGGAGATTGAATGGAAAGGCATCAAAAGTACCTAAGGTGGACCCTCATTTTGCACTCATTGGATTAATGAGACAAAAGTCCATTCTCATCCCTCTCCCCTCTTCATTTTCGGCCAAGCTACAGCAAGAAGAGAAAGAAAACTCTTCTTCTTCCTTCCTCCATTGTTGAAGAGAGCTCATCAAAGAAGAATCACCCAAAAAGGAGCTAAAGTGCTAAAAGTGTGAAATAATTAAGGTAATGACCTTATTATAACTTTTTCTTTATTTTTCTTCTACCATATGAAGTATATAGCATATGAAGAACCTTTAGTATGGTTCCATATGTTATAAGTATGGATTCATGGGTTGGAAGGTGGTTCTACGTCCAAAAACGGACTTAGAAGCCAAAACGACCGGTTCACCGGAAAATAACCTTTTAGAGGTTATTTGTATTAATATGGGTTTTATGATTATAAAACCTTGTTAGGCACTTGTAAAGGGTATTTCAAGTGATTTCACAAAGTTGGAAAAGTCGCCGGAGTTGTCGCCGGAGTTGACCAAAAGTCGCCGGAGTTTCACCGGAGTTCAACCAAGAAGGGTGGAACTTCATAACACTAGTTCAAGGTGAGTGGACGGCTTAATATCTTATAACTTTTGGGTTAATTATGAGATTACCTAAATAAATGTTATATGAGTTCATAATGATGTTTAAAAGATATTTAAACATGTGATTAGCCAATAGGGTTAAGTTTGTATAAAAGAAATAAATGATTTATGCATGGAATATGATATGAGGAATTACATAAAATCCATATTTGTTTGAAAGGTATAAGGAACACCAAATGAACATTATCAATTTAATTACATGGTGATTAAGTCGATAAGTGTAAGACTTGAAATGGCGGTCAACGACACCGTTGACCGGTGGATAATGGATTAATTAATATCGGTTGATATTAGTTAGTTATACATTTATAGAATCGCATGGTTTGCATGGATTGTGATACATAAGCTTTATGTATTGAATTAGTTATGAGTAACTAAGTGTGATATAAACTCTATCTAGGTTGATAGAAGGTTGATCATAGGAAAATATTTTGGTGGAGGACCCTAGTACTCAAAAGTACTTAACACTCAAAATTTGGTGGAGGACCCTAGGACTTAAAGTCCTTAACACTCGGATTATAAATTGGTGGAGGACCCTAGGACTTAAAAGTCCTTAACACTCAAACTTGGTGGAGGACCCTAGTACTTAAAAGTACTTAACACTCAAACTTGGTGGAGGACCCTAGTACTTAAAAGTACTTAACACTCAAACTTGGTGGAGGACCCTAGTACTTAAAAGTACTTAACACTCAAAACTTGGTGGAGGACCCTAGGACTTATGAGTCCTTAACACTCGCAAACCGGTGGAGTACCCAAGGATTATGATCCTCAAAACTCATAGATTATGATATTGAAATAGGGACAAGGAGGAGTCCTATACACTCATTGGTATATGGGTGGGTTGGGGTTTTTAGTCAAGAATATTGACTATTACTATTCTTCCCAAATAAAATGGTGATCTACGGATCGGATATTTTCCAAGTATATATTTATACTAATAAGTATTTCATAACTTGGGGGAAAGACTATCTATTTAAGTATCACCCTATGTTTGGGTCTTATACTTGAAACGCTAGTTATTCTATATTTAGCCTGCTACTCGCTCGGTACTTGTACTGACCCCTTCGGGGGGCCCCACCATTTTCAGGTTGAAGCTAGGGCTTGCTACTTGCACCTTCTCACGGGTGGTATCAAATCAGGAAGACGTGGTTCGTGCTTCCTTATTTTCTTTCAAACTACCGAACACTTGCTCATGGATATTTGTTCTACTATAAACTATTTTTGGGGCTTGCATGCCCATGTTGTTGGCCGGTTGTGGCCTATGACTTACCGTTGAATATTTTCCGCTATTCATTGGTTTAAATGTGATGTTGTTATGTATGTTTACTACTGAGTATGGATGGATTGTTTTCTCGAACGCCTTGTGTAATTGAGTGAGGTTGACTCGTGGGTGACGTCACTTAGTTATACGGCGGTTGTACACGCGCTTGGATTGCGGTCTGGGGCGTGACAATTAAGTGGTATCAGAGCCATCTCAGTTCTAAACTATATAATCAACCTCTCACAAAAGATTTTACAAAAGAGTTTTTGCCGAAAACCATGAGCATTGTATTTTGACGTTTATAGGACTATTGGTGCTTAAGTTGCAAGGCCTCTAATTGTTAAGACGGTACCCTTAACAATTGGTATGGTAGTGACTTGGGCCAATACGTGTCTGTAACGTTTTTCCGTCAATTGACATTTATAGGAGTCTAATGACTCATCCATATTTCTTTCAGAAATGGAGGGCAGGCGAATGCGAACCAGGAACAATCCGAGGGGGCAGACGCCGGTAGCATCCCAAAGGGGGAGCCGGGCTGCATCTCGGGGTTCAAGAGGAGGCCGTGGAGGCCGTGGAGGCCGTGGAAGCCGTGGAGGTCACCAAGCTCAAACTGTGAGTGAGGGCCATGTAAGCTCGGTGTATGAAACCAACACCGAAGACTACGACTCTACATATGTTCCGGAAACGGAGCACGAGGAGACCCCATATGATGGGGGTGACACATACACCGATGATGATGATGAAGAGAGTGATGCCAAGTTCGCCCAAATGGGCGAATTGCTTGAGTGGTATCAAAAAGAAAAGCTGAGGAGAGACCTTAGGCGCCAAGCAAGGCGTGGCTCTCGCGGTGGTTCGGGTCAAGGAAGCCGGGGAGCTTCAAGAGCCACTCCCGTGGCGCCACACGATGGGCGTGAAGGAGGTTTTTGTGTGAGAATCTCCAAGTACCTCAAGGAGGCTAGGGCCTTGGGGTGTAAGTCCTTTGACGGCACCGGTGACATTACCGTTGCCGCCGATTGGATAAAGAAGGTGAAGGATGCGGCAAAGGACATGCAAATTTCACCGGACGTGAAGTTGACTGTTGCTTCACGGCTGCTTGAGGGGATAGCTTCCACGTGGTGGGAGAGTGTGGAAGGAAAATACCATGGGGAGGTCTCATGGTTGAACTTTGAGCAGGAGTTTTATGACCAATACTACACTGACTATGAGAAAAATGTCAAGCGTAGGGAGTACACCAACCTCAAACAGAAGGAGGGTGTGTCTGTTAAACAACTGGAGCAAGATTTTAGAACCTTGGCTAGGTTCTTACCGGAGTACGCGATCAATGAGGACCGCATGTCGGAGCACTTTTGGGATGCCTTACTCTTGGACATCCGTGATCGGGCTACGTACTCACGCCACATGACCTTTAGCGAGGTGGTGGAGCAGGGCCTTCTTGGGGAGGCTCAATGGAATGAGAGAAAAGAAAGAGACGCCGAGGAGGCGAAAAAGAGAAAATGGCATAATTCGGGGCCGCCCGAGCAAGCACGGAAGAATCACCACGGTGGGGGTGGGGGTACGTTCAAGGCGCCGGCACCACCGGCGAAGAAGAACAAGGATGCTCGGTGGCACGCATCCTCCTCTCAAAATACGGGGCCTCCTAAGTGTGCCAACTGTTCAAAGAACCACTTCGGGAAGTGCAACGCACCCCCGAGGTGTTATCGGTGTGGGAACGCGGGCCACATGAAGGCCAATTGCCCACAATTGGGGGGAGGAGGAGCTCCGGGATCCGGAGGAGGAACCATGACGGGAAGAAACCGTGCGGGCCCGTCAAACGGCGGTACGGGAAGAGGCAACCCATCCACAAGTCATGCCGCGTCCGTAAACCAAGGCGGGACCCAAGCACGAGTCTACGCGATGACCGAGGCGGATGCGAGAGCAAACCCGGACTCCGTTGCAGGTAATACGCGTATTCCCATGTATTTCTAGGCTTACTTTGATCATATACGTCGTTGGGATTGAGTGTGGGCCACCCCGGGGTCGAACCGGGTGAGTTAGGCCGAATCTGGCTGGAAACAGCCACTGCCGGCCAGGCACGCCATCAGGCACGCCGTGCCTGGAATCGTGCCTGGAAGGCAGTGGCACCCGAAGAGAAAAAAGAAAAAAAAAATTTGGGCCAGGCACGGCCGCAGGCACGCCGTGCCTGGCGTCGTGCCTGGGAGGCAGTGGTGTCCGAAGAAGTTTTGGCCAGGCACGGCCGCAGGCACGCCGTGCCTGGCATCGTGCCTGGCCGGCAGTGGACAGCAGGGTGAGTTTGTTGCACGCACGGCCGTGCCTGCCACCCAGGCACGCCGTGCGTGGACCCCCAACACCCGAAAGTTGATTTTTTCGCCCCGTTCTTCTACGTTTGGACCCCCGTTTGATTCCAAACATTTGTATGAACCTAATAACATCCTAATGATGTGTAAAAACATTAGAAAATGTATCTTACATGGTGTATAAATGTAGGAACATTAAAGATCAATGGTAGGTGTGCGAGGATCCTCATCGATACCGGGGCACAACGCTCATTTGTGAGTGAGGCGTTCGCCGAGGGCCTTGACGTGCCATTGACACCTATGACTCAAACGTTGCTAGTCTCCACACCGTTAGGAGACGACGTGGAGAGAAATCATTACTATCCGTCGTGTGAGGTAGAAGTGACGGGTCAACCTTTGACTTGTGATTTCGTACCTCTAAGCATGTTGGAGTTCGATGCAATCCTAGGAATGGATTGGCTCGAGAAACACCATGCCCGAGTAGATTGCTACACCAAGGTGTTGGAGCTCGAGGATGATCAAGGGAACACGCTATGCTTTGAGGGAGATCGGGGGAAATCTAGTGCTTGTATCATATCCGTGATGAGAGCACGGAAGATGATGAGGAAGGGATGCCACGCGTACCTTGCCTACGTGGTGGACGATACCAAGAAGGAAGTCGACATCAAAGATGTACGGATCGTGTGCAAGTACCCGGATGTCTTTCCCAAAGACCTACCGGGGCTTCCACCCGACAGAGAGATAGAGTTTGTAATTGAAGTGGAGCCGGGAACCAAACCTATTTCGGTTCCTCCTTATCGAATGGCACCGGCCGAACTCCAAGAGTTGAAGGTCCAACTACAAGAATTACTGGACAACGGGTTCATCAGACCCAGTCATTCACCGTGGGGGGCACCCGTACTCTTCGTGAAGAAGAAGGATGGTACACTAAGAATGTGTATTGACTACCGACAATTGAACAAGGTCACAATCAAGAACAGGTATCCCTTACCGAGGATTGATGACTTGTTTGACCAACTTCGGGGGGCAATAGTGTTCTCGAAGATTGATTTGAGGTCGGGGTATCATCAGTTGAAGATCAAGGAGAGCGACATACCTAAGAGTGCATTCCGCACTAGGTATGGTCATTACGAGTTCCTTGTAATGTCATTTGGTTTAACCAACGCACCGGCGGCATTCATGGACTTGATGAACCGGGTGTTTAGTGAATACTTAGATCAATTTGTGATAGTATTCATTGATGATATCTTGATATACTCCAAGAGTGAGGAGGAGCACGAGCATCATTTGGGGCTTATACTTGATCGGCTAAGGGAAAAGCAACTCTTTGCCAAGTTCTCTAAATGCGAATTTTGGCTCAAGGAGATTGGTTTTCTCGGTCACGTCATATCCGGTTCGGGCGTAGCTGTGGATAACGCAAAGATAAAAGCTATCATGGATTGGGAGAGACCCAAGAATGTGAAAGAGATACGTAGTTTCCTTGGCTTAGCGGGATACTATCGTAAATTTGTTGAAAAATTCTCCGTATTGGCGTCTCCATTAACGAAGCTCACAAAGAAAGGGGCCAAGTTCATATGGGACGACAAGTGTGAGAAAGAGTTCCTTGAACTGAAGAAACGACTTACCGAAGCACCAGTCCTTGCCCTACCCATACAGGGGATAGGGTATGACATTTACAGCGATGCTAGCATCCAAGGGCTTGGATGTGTACTAATGCAAAACGGTAAGGTGATTGCCTATGCTTCTAGGCAATTGAGAAAACACGAGGTGAACTACCCTACTCACGACCTAGAGTTGGGGGCGGTAGTGTTTGCATTGAAGATTTGGAGGCATTATCTCTACGGGGAAACGTGTCACATTTATACCGATCATAAGAGCTTGAAGTATGTATTCACTCAAAAAGAGTTGAATATGAGACAAAGGAGATGGATGGAGTTGATCAAGGACTATGACTTGATCATCGACTATCATCCCGGAAAGGCCAACGTAGTGGCCGACGCACTGAGCAGGAAGAGTACGTCAGGGACGTTACTTACTTGTCTGCAGGCATTGAGGGCACGCGTGGAGGTGTCCACGTGCGGGGCTCTCATTGCTCAATTTGAGGTTAGGCCCACCCTATTGGGCGAGATTAGTCGAAGTCAGGCCATGGATGAGGAATGTCAGAAGATCCGTGAAAGGATCCTTGCGGGGCCCGTTGAGAATTTCCGGGTACGTGATGACGGTCTGTTATTGTTTAAGGATCGTGTGTGCATACCAAGGAATGAGGAACTCCAGAAATCTATACTTGAGGAGGCTCATTCTTCAGCTTATGCTATGCATCCAGGAGGTACTAAGATGTACCGAGATTTGAAGGAAAGTTACTGGTGGTCAGGTATGAAGAGAGACATTGCTGAGTATGTGAGTCGGTGCCTTACTTGCCAGCAAGTTAAGGCAGAGCATCAGCACCCGGCAGGGCTTTTGCAGCCACTCACCATCCCAGAGTGGAAGTGGGAGCACGTGACCATGGACTTCGTGGTGGGGCTACCACGAACAGTGAACAACTATGATGCAGTTTGGGTAGTGGTTGATAGGCTCACCAAGAGTGCACACTTTTTGCCTATCAACATTACTTATCCTCTTGAAAGATTGGCCAAGCTTTACACGGAGGAGATTGTGAGATTACATGGAGTCCCGATATCCATTGTCTCGGATAGGGATCCACGATTCACATCCCGATTTTGGCCAAAGTTTCAAGCATCGCTGGGTACTAAACTGAAGTTTAGCACAGCTTTTCACCCACAGACGGATGGACAGTCCGAGCGGGTGATACAGATTTTGGAAGACATGCTTAGGGCATGTGCTTTGGAGTTCCAAGGAAGTTGGGACAAGCATTTGGCCCTAGTGGAGTTTGCTTATAACAACAGTTATCAAGCAAGTATCGGCATGCCTCCATATGAGGCATTGTATGGGAGGAAATGTAGAACACCGTTGTGTTGGGACGAGGTTGGCGAGGCCAAACTCGAAGGGATAGAGCTGGTTGAGATTACCAAGGCCAAGGTAAGGATCATTCGGGATAGATTGAAGGCTGCTCAGGACCGACAGAAGAGTTATGCTGATAAACGGCGGAGACCGTTGGAGTTCGAAGTCGGTGATGAGGTCTTCCTAAGGATTTCTCCTTGGAAGGGCATCATTCGATTTGTATCGAGGGGAAAGCTTAACCCCCGATACATTGGTCCATTTGAGATCCTTGAAAGGATTGGAGCCGTGGCTTATCGTCTCAAGTTAACGCCGGAACTTGAGAAGATACATGATGTGTTTCATGTATCAATGCTCAAGAAGTACATACGGGATCCCTCTCATATTCTTGAGAAACCGCCAGTAGAGATCCGTGAGGATTTGCAATATGCGGTAGAGCCGGTGAAGATAGTGGGTCAACAAGTGAAGAAACTTAGGAATAAGGAGATTCCTATGGTAAAGGTTCTTTGGAGGAGTGATCGAGTCGAAGAAGAAACATGGGAGACCGAGGTCTCAATGAGGGAGCAATACCCGTTTCTTTTCGATTAGACACACGGATTTCGGGGACAAAATCCCAAATAAGGGGGGGTGAACTTGTAACACCGTCCCCAAATGTATTTACTTTTATGTAAATGATGTAATAAACCTTATGGAATGATTTATGAATTTACGAAGTTGTAAATTTTTATTTATTCTTTCGCGTGAATAGTAAATTGCACGTGGGACCCACACCGGGAGCGGGGGCCGCCCGATTTTCCCGAGACCATACATTTTATTCATCATGGTCTAGATAATAAATATGTAGTGGTGGATATTTCATTTGGGCCATGGAAAGGCCCGGAGTTGACCGATTGGTCAAAAGAAGCCCAAATTACCAGTACTGGTAATTTAACTGATAACAGTCCGAACTGAATTTCGGAGGCTTATAAATTAAAGTTGGGGAATGTATATTCATTATACATGTCATAATGAGTAAGAGCACATAATATATTTTATTTGACCCGATAAAATAAAATATATTTAAAACAGTCCGAAAAATACAACTTTCGGGACCGATTGTACACTTCGGGACACAAAGGGTTGACCTCCCACATGAGTGGGGGCCAACCCACGAATTTGGACACTCAATATGGGGTGTTGGCCGCTGGAATGGGAATAGGAAGGTGGGAGGTGTTGGAGATTGAATGGAAAGGCATCAAAAGTACCTAAGGTGGACCCTCATTTTGCACTCATTGGATTAATGAGACAAAAGTCCATTCTCATCCCTCTCCCCTCTTCATTTTCGGCCAAGCTACAGCAAGAAGAGAAAGAAAACTCTTCTTCTTCCTTCCTCCATTGTTGAAGAGAGCTCATCAAAGAAGAATCACCCAAAAAGGAGCTAAAGTGCTAAAAGTGTGAAATAATTAAGGTAATGACCTTATTATAACTTTTTCTTTATTTTTCTTCTACCATATGAAGTATATAGCATATGAAGAACCTTTAGTATGGTTCCATATGTTATAAGTATGGATTCATGGGTTGGAAGGTGGTTCTACGTCCAAAAACGGACTTAGAAGCCAAAACGACCGGTTCACCGGAAAATAACCTTTTAGAGGTTATTTGTATTAATATGGGTTTTATGATTATAAAACCTTGTTAGGCACTTGTAAAGGGTATTTCAAGTGATTTCACAAAGTTGGAAAAGTCGCCGGAGTTGTCGCCGGAGTTGACCAAAAGTCGCCGGAGTTTCACCGGAGTTCAACCAAGAAGGGTGGAACTTCATAACACTAGTTCAAGGTGAGTGGACGGCTTAATATCTTATAACTTTTGGGTTAATTATGAGATTACCTAAATAAATGTTATATGAGTTCATAATGATGTTTAAAAGATATTTAAACATGTGATTAGCCAATAGGGTTAAGTTTGTATAAAAGAAATAAATGATTTATGCATGGAATATGATATGAGGAATTACATAAAATCCATATTTGTTTGAAAGGTATAAGGAACACCAAATGAACATTATCAATTTAATTACATGGTGATTAAGTCGATAAGTGTAAGACTTGAAATGGCGGTCAACGACACCGTTGACCGGTGGATAATGGATTAATTAATATCGGTTGATATTAGTTAGTTATACATTTATAGAATCGCATGGTTTGCATGGATTGTGATACATAAGCTTTATGTATTGAATTAGTTATGAGTAACTAAGTGTGATATAAACTCTATCTAGGTTGATAGAAGGTTGATCATAGGAAAATATTTTGGTGGAGGACCCTAGTACTCAAAAGTACTTAACACTCAAAATTTGGTGGAGGACCCTAGGACTTAAAGTCCTTAACACTCGGATTATAAATTGGTGGAGGACCCTAGGACTTAAAAGTCCTTAACACTCAAACTTGGTGGAGGACCCTAGTACTTAAAAGTACTTAACACTCAAACTTGGTGGAGGACCCTAGTACTTAAAAGTACTTAACACTCAAACTTGGTGGAGGACCCTAGTACTTAAAAGTACTTAACACTCAAAACTTGGTGGAGGACCCTAGGACTTATGAGTCCTTAACACTCGCAAACCGGTGGAGTACCCAAGGATTATGATCCTCAAAACTCATAGATTATGATATTGAAATAGGGACAAGGAGGAGTCCTATACACTCATTGGTATATGGGTGGGTTGGGGTTTTTAGTCAAGAATATTGACTATTACTATTCTTCCCAAATAAAATGGTGATCTACGGATCGGATATTTTCCAAGTATATATTTATACTAATAAGTATTTCATAACTTGGGGGAAAGACTATCTATTTAAGTATCACCCTATGTTTGGGTCTTATACTTGAAACGCTAGTTATTCTATATTTAGCCTGCTACTCGCTCGGTACTTGTACTGACCCCTTCGGGGGGCCCCACCATTTTCAGGTTGAAGCTAGGGCTTGCTACTTGCACCTTCTCACGGGTGGTATCAAATCAGGAAGACGTGGTTCGTGCTTCCTTATTTTCTTTCAAACTACCGAACACTTGCTCATGGATATTTGTTCTACTATAAACTATTTTTGGGGCTTGCATGCCCATGTTGTTGGCCGGTTGTGGCCTATGACTTACCGTTGAATATTTTCCGCTATTCATTGGTTTAAATGTGATGTTGTTATGTATGTTTACTACTGAGTATGGATGGATTGTTTTCTCGAACGCCTTGTGTAATTGAGTGAGGTTGACTCGTGGGTGACGTCACTTAGTTATACGGCGGTTGTACACGCGCTTGGATTGCGGTCTGGGGCGTGACAGTGGCTCAATTGCAGAAGGCATATTCTAGATCCGATCCGGTAGCTAGGGTTTGTTGGTTAGGGTCGGGCGGTTGTGGACTGAGAAGAAGTAAATTGGGGCTGGGTTGGGCTTGTCGGACTTGGATCTAGGAAAGGGTGCAGTGCGCAGGGCAAGGTGTGGACTGGTGAACAGGGGTGATTGGGGCAAGGGTGTTGGTGTTGTCATGGCGGCGTGGCAGCAGATGTCAGGGATGGGGTGGTCACTGACGTGGTGGTTTGGTCATCGGTGTTGGTGGGCGGAGGAGTTGATGGCCGGAGGGGGTGGTTTGCCAGAGGCGGTTTCCGGCGGCAGTGGCAGGGGGTTTGGGTTAGAGGCAGGGCGTGGATGCCGGCCGCCAAAGTGAGTGTATGGTTGTGTCACGGCGGCCATGGCTGCTGCGGATGGTGGTGTTATTTTAAATTTGTTTGGAAAAATATGGGGGACTAATTGTAACTGTAATTGATCGGGTTCGGTAACTATAGTTAATCGAATCGAGTAATTGCAACTAGTAAAATTGGATAAATAAAAGTAGCTGAGTTGAGTAACTGTAACTGATTAGGTCGAGTACCTGTAACTGACTGAACGTTGGTCACTAGACATACAAACGTAAGTCATTGCACGGGCGGAAGTCACTATGTTATCAAGCGGAATTTTTGGTAACTGACGAATTTTGGTCACTGGTGAACTTTGGATTTTTTGTCACTAATGATTTTTTGTCACTGACGAATTTTTGGATTTTTGGTCATAAATGATTTTTGGTCACTAATGATTTTGGTCACTGACGGATTTTTGGATTTTTTTTCACAAATGATTTTTGGTCACTGGGTGGATTGGTCATGGTCACTAGTCAGATTGGTCACTGGACGGGTTGACGTTGGTAACTAGGTAAAATTTTTGTTTACTAATGATTTTGGTCACTGACGGATTTTTGGATTTTTTTTCACAAATGATTTTTGGCCACTAGATGGATTGGTCATGGTCACTAGTCAGATTGGTCACTGGACGGGTTGACGTTGGTAACTAGGTAAAATTTTTGGTCACAAATGATTTTGGTCACTGACGGATTTTTGGAATTTTGGTCACAAATGATTTTTGGTCACTGGGTGGATTGGTCATGGTCACTAGTCAGATTGGTCACTGGACGGGTTGACGTTGGTAACTAGGTAGAATTTTTTGTCACTAATGATTTTGGTCACTGACGGATTTTTGGAATTTTGGTCACAAATAATTTTTGGTCACTGGGTGGATTGGTCATGGTCACTAGTCAGATTGGTCAATGGACGGGTTGATGTTGGTAACTAGGTAGAATTTTTTGTCACTAATGATTTTGGTCACTGACGGATTTTTGAATTTTTGGTCACAAATGATTTTTGGTCGGTGACGAATTTTGGTCACGATAATGGTTTTGGTCACTGTGGCGTTATTGTAGACTAATGGGTGAGATTCTATTAAAATAAGGGTATAATAGTCTCTTAACCTATTGTTAGTCTCATTTTTGGAAAAATGAAATAAAGGTCTCTTTTTTGTTCATAGCTCTTTTTTTAGTATTATTTTAGACATAACCCCAAAAAAAATTATGTAGTTTTTGAACATGTAAATTTTAATTATTAAAAATTGACGTTGTAAATCAAATTGGGATGGAGGGGAGTATTGCTTTGCTTTCAAACCAATGGTTCTACGACATGTTCTATCATATGATTTTTAGATTCAAAATATATTGTTATAGTTTTAATATACTACATTTATTTTTTTATTAGAAGTTTAGATATTTGGAATTTTTGTTGTGATTGTATTTCAATTGTTTTTAGATATCTCAAATCGACTTTTTCCGGGTTCAATCCAACCCGAACCCGAGGCTCTTAAAATCTGGACCAACCCGAAAGTGTTGGTCATTCGATCGGGCCCAAAAATGTAGAACCCGAATTTTTTCGAGTTTTTGACGATCCTAGCCAAAACCCTACCCAACCCGATCCACCTTCCGCATGGTGTACCGATCCCACTTCTGCAAAGCTTCGTTGCTTTTTTTTGCTTGTGGAGCTTATTCCTTCCTTTTTCTTTTGCTATTCTTTCTTTATTTTTCGTTTCTTCAATTCTTTCCCATTTCCATCAAATTTAAATATTAAAAAATTAGTTGCAGTTTTACTCTTCCTTATCTTCAATTTAAATTATAATTGAATTTTTTTATTCTTTAATTATCATTACATAACAAAAATTTTAATAATCTAAATAAAAAAAGTACATTGCATTTCATATTCATACACTATTTCTTGTAATATCTTTTTTATATTCATACATTTTTTGTAACATATTTTTATATGCATACACTTTTGTCTATAATATTTTTTATCACTTTTATATGTTTTTGGAGGTTTTTAAGACACTGAGTTTGTTTATTTTGATTCTAACTTGGAGTTACATTTAATAATATACGAAGTTACATCATCTTATGCTCAAATTACATGTTATTATGCGTGAGTTACATCTTCTTATGTGTGACTTATATCTTCTTATGCGCGAGTTACATACTTTTATGCGTGAGTTACATCTAATTATGCGTGAGTTACATCTAATTATTTGTGATATTTTACTTATCTTTATTTTTAACTGATTAAATTACAACTGAATTAATATTTTTATTTTACCAATTTAATAAAAATATTATTAATCTACATGAACCCTTTTATTGAATAAAAAACTCTTTTTAAGTCGATTTTCTTTTGCAAAAAAATGATTTTTTTGGGGAAAATATTTTTTTAAAAACATTTTGTGGTCTTAATATTTAAAAGAACATTTTCACTATTTAGGTAAAGTAAATAAGAAATTAGACTCCTCTTTTATTGTTTATATTGAAATTATTGTTTTTGACAAGTACATTTTGACTTGCTTGCAGTAACATTTCTTGTTAACGTGAGTTATATTTTTTATACGCGAGTTACACCATTCATGTTACTAGGACAAAAAGGAAAAAAACAGTTAATGTTCAAGCGTGTACTGTGTTCACATGATTTAAAAAAAAAAACTACATCGTTTGTGGGTCTGGAGCATGGTGCTCACCGTGGGATGATCCCACGACCCACGGTATACGAACTGTGTTTGCGGTCTCCTTGTTTCACCTCACATACTTCATCAAGTCTCGGTCAACTAAGATCAATTTCCTGAATTCGTCCCTCATTAAATTGATGTAAGGCATTTTTACCTTTTGCATATTCAAAAAAGTTTAAAATTTAGAGATTAATAATCCCAAACTTGAAAAATTATACGTAAATGATCTCAACTTCCTAAGTGTTTGGCAAAAATAAACCAACGTAACTAGAATCTAACATCTTTAAGCGATGGTTTTTTGTGAAACAGCGAACACGCATAGATCATTAATTTATTATCATAAACGCTTTTCACCCGGAGAATATTTTTATAAATCGAGTAAAAGTACAAATTATTAGTTTCGGATTGAGTATTCTTTAATATTTTTTGTCAATATTGACTGGTTTTCACCTTTTAACTCCCAATTCGAATTTGGCACCTTCACCAGAAAAATAGAAAAACCACAGGTCACAGGTGCACACTGAGATCGTGTGTAGATAATAGATATGACCTCAAAGTATACATTGTGTTCACTGTTAGCAAAGCAATTGATAAACACCGGCCCCAGACGTAAAAATACAAATATAATAATATTTTGGATTATTGTTTCGTGTTACCCTATGAGTAGCATCATTAAATTAGAACTCGTGCAACTCCTGCAACCACAAAAGATAACTTAATTCTTATTAGTAATGAGAATCAGTTAAAAGTCGGCACATTAAAGGTTACACAGGGATGAGATTCAGAGCTGAAAACACGCTTAAGAGCGGCCCGACTCGCTAATCCTATAGATTGGTAGACTCCGATCCATTAACAAAATGTTGCATTTGCTATTAGAATGAAAATAAAAAATAATTGAAGAGTTATGAAAAGACAAACAAAAATATGAAAGACTATCCATTTCTTCAACCACTAGCAAGGAAATAGCGGTTTGACCATCCTCCACCAAAGGTTCCACTTTTGCATCACACAGATCCCCGTTCATTGGCGGTTCTCTCCAGACAGCACCACCACCTGCAAGTTTTTTGGATCTGCACCATCAACGTCCATGTTTGCTTGAACTTCATCCTCGCTAGCTTGCTCAATGACCATGTGTTTCCTTAGTTGATCTTCTGGTGGAGTAACAACTTCCTTGCCCCTTGAAATTAGGCCTTCCACAACATAGCTTCCCTGATTCATTCTATTGCAACCTGAGACCACCCCATCATCCCTTTTGTCATTTGATCTATTATTGCTAGGAACCAGTCACCTGCTTCCCGGGTGCACACCACCCCGCCTAGCATGTAACAATGACCCATAAGGCTTCTCACTGATCCAAGGTCCACTATGTGGATTAGAGGGGCAAAAGGGTCCACATGACCAAGTATCCCACATAGGAAACAGAAAATTGGGAGTCTCTCATATCGAAAATTCACCCATATCCAATTATCCCCTTCCTATTGTACCTGCAAACGTCTAGTCAAAACCACATTAATATTTATGGTGATTCTAACATGCAGAAGTGCAAAACCAATCTCTCTTTTCCTCCAAGAGAGCTTTCATCTAATTGGACAAAAGACCCAATACGGTTGTCAATCCCACGAGTTGCCTTTTCGGTCTTATACTCTAATGGTAAGTTATGTGCTTGAACCCAAAAGTCTCCATAATCCAGCGGGACTTCAAGGGGTCTATCAGTGTGCCCTACTCGCCTGATCAAAACTAGATTTTGTTCAAAGGATTAAGGCCATTCCTCCAATACTCTACTGA